CGGTGGGGGGGGGGGGCGGTTCTGCCGATGGAGCCCCCGCGGGTCCCCCCAAACCCCTCGCCCGAGAAGGTCCGGCACCGGGTCTGGGACTGGGCATCACCCCCGGTGGGGCAGCGGGAGGGGGCGGCTGCAGCTCCTGGGAACCCTTCCAGGGATGGTGGGAACCAGCACCGCAAAGTGCCTCCTTGCTTCCCAGTGGAGAGACTGGGCTGGCAGACCCCGGCAGTGCTTGTAGGGCCAGAGGGGTTCCCCAGCATCGTGACTTTGTCTCCCCTGGAAGAGTCCCACACCCCTGGCCCAGTGCACCGGCAGCATCCCTCGGGTATGAGCATCCCCTCAAGTGGTACCCTGAGGATGCTCATACCTGGTACTTAAAGGATGTTGTTACCAGGGGGATGCCATTATCAGAAGGATGCTGGTACCAGAGGGATAATGACTCGGTGCCCAGCTGGTGTCCTCATGAGATCACCACAGACAACTTCATTCTGGGGTGAAAGGCTCCCTGGGCCTGCCGGGGGTCCCAACCCCCCAACTTTCCCCTCTATGGGGATCTCTTCCCCACCCAGCCTGACCAAGGCAGCAGGAGAGGTGCGAGTCATACCACGGGGCAGATGAGAGAAGGTCCACCTGCTTCACCTCCTGCCTTATCCCCAGCTGGGCTGGGATGGCCCATGGGCTTCCCAGATCACCCCCTTCACTGTGACACTCGGAGGTTCCTCTGTTAAGCTCCAGCCCCTGGAGTCAGGCTATTAAACCATACTCCTTGTTTACTTTAAAAAAATGAAGTCGCCTCCAAACCCCTGCTTTGGCAAAATCCTTAGAAACGTGACTTGTACCAGCTCGTGAACCAGATGGGGAAAGCAAAAGAAATCCACATCTTGTTATTTAAAAACCCGGTGGTGATTAAGCCAGTCTGATGATCCGGGGAGTCTGAATCATCTTTTTTTTTTTTTTTTTTTATTTTAAAAACAGTGGGGGTTGGGGCAAGGCACACGTTTCTGTTTTAAGATAAAAAAACCTAAAAATTTTGCTACACTCAACTCGCATCAAAATTAAGACAGACGAGAGATTTTAAAAACTAAGCCCCGCCAGCCTGCAGCACCCTTTGCCTGCCTGGGTGGTCTGTGCCCAGCTGGGAGGGGGGGAGTGAAGGGGTTTTTAATCTCTGCAGCTCTATGTCCAGGTATAATTAAGCTTAAGCCAAATTAAACTGCCCTGGAAAAGAGGGTAACCAGTATCATTCCACCTTTTTTTCCCGGCTCCTGAGCCCAGCCTCTCACCGCTTTGCTAGGGCACGTCACACGCGGGAGGTAAGGGTGTACTGCAGGAAATAATGCCGTGTCATATCCCCTCCACCCACTGCTTCCCTCCAGAGATGGCAGAGGCTTTGCAGGAGCGCGGAGGAGCCGCCCTGCTGCCCAAGAGCTGCTGCAGCCACCGGGGAATGGCCAGCAGCCATGCCGAGCTGACCGGGTGCAAGATGACCCTCAGCACCACGCCGGCAGCCGGCGTCGCCCAGGCTTTCTTCTGCCTCCTGCTGTGCATCTCGTGGGGCAGCTCCTGCCCGCCGAGCTGTCAGTGCACGGAGCGGGCAGGGGCGAAGGCCGTCCTCTGCAGCTCCCGGCATTTGGAGGAGATCCCCAAGGACATCCCCAAAGACGCGGTGTTCCTCAAGCTGGACGCCAACAGCATCACCAGGATCCCCAGCAATGCCTTCCGGCACCTCTCCCACCTGGAGGAACTCGATCTCTCCAGGAACGCCATTGAGAAGATCGACAGGGCAGCTTTCAAAGGGGTGGCCGCTGGGCTGCGTACCCTCGACCTCTCCAGCAACCGCATCCGCAGCATCCCCAAGGAGGCCCTGTTGGCGCTCAATGCCAAGCTCCGGCTGGCCAACAACCCCTGGCACTGCGAGTGTGCCTTGCAGGAGGTGTTATGGGAAGCGCGGCTGGACCCCGACTCCGTCCAGGACATCACTTGCCACACGGCCCCTCGTGAGGAGTACGTGGGCAAACCACTGCTCCAGGTCCTGGATGCCGGTGTCAACTTCTGCAGTGTGCGGCAGAGGACCACGGACGTGGCCATGTTCATCACCATGTTCGGCTGGTTCACCATGGTCATCGTCTACGTGATCTGCTACGTCCGGCACAATCGAGAGGACACTTGCAAGCATGTGGACTACCTGAAGTCACTGCCGAGCACCCAGAGCCACGCAGAGACCACCAGCACTGCCCTGTAGCGCAGGATTGGGGCCCCCTGTTCCCACCTTCTTTGCAGGGAGCCAGCCGTGACAAAGCTTCTCTGTGGGATTTTCCAGTGCTTGCTCCGGTCCTGCAAATGAGTGCCACCGACTTCGCCCCTCCCCACCAATGCTGGACTTGAGAGTGAGCCAACGACATGGTGGAGGGATGGCGGGGACACCCCCCCCACACACGCAGACCCCTTCTTCCCTGCCAGAGCTCTGGGCTGGGGGGGAAAGCAGCCCCCAGCCATGTGCTCGCTGGTCCACGCGATTTGGAA